TATATATATATATATATATATATACACACATACACACACAAAATGCTTTTTAAACAAAATAATCACAATTCAGTTGATCTAAGTAGCCGACAGTTTTGACAGTTTTTCTTATGAAAAAGCATCAATATCTCTTAATTTCTGTCTTATTTTGAACTCCTATATGGACAAAAATAACATCTGGAATCCTGAGAAGACCAAAGCCTTCAGGGCAATAACTGTCTCAGAATTACTGATCCTGCTCTTAATTGGAATACATTTGCATGGGGGGCACCTAAGATGCTCTTTTCACCCCCTCCCCAAAGAAAATCCACACTGAAGCAAACACACGCGCACGTATTGGCCGGTGCGTAAGTGTGGCTGTCGTGTTTACTTTGCCAAAGTTTCGTTAATCGCAGGTCGCTGTGAAACACGGTTCAAGCGAACCGTGTCACCTCCGCCGTGACTTGCGTGTTTATTTTCAAGGGGAGGGGGGGGGGGGGGGTGAGGGCATTTCCACGGTGTGTCAGGGGTCATACGTGGATCCATAAATGAATGGTGGGCTCGACAGCCACACCATGAAAGACCGCTCCCTGATTGGCTCGCGGCTGGCAGGAATAAACACTCTCAGGGTATATAACGCGGCAAAGTGTGACAGTTCCAAGAAACAAGAAGCCTCTCTGAGAAGAAGGGGTGAAGAAGAGCCGCTGTTAAACATTAAGGTTTTGCCTTTTAGAGAGCCAGAGCTGAGGATGAAGGCGCAGATCCAAAAAGTTCCTCAGATCGTTGAGCTGCTGAGGAAGAAGACGGTGGGGCTGCAGCACTTCAAGCCAACATCCTCTGTGTGCGTCCTGGAGCAAAAGGATGCTGAGGCTGCGCCGTGCCCTCACGCCGCCTCTAGGGCGCACAGTTTGGACGCGATGCCGGGACCCACCAACTGGCCCCTGGTCGGCAGTCTGGTGGAGCTCCTGTGCAAAGGAGGGCTCACAAGACAACACGAAGCACTGGTGAGGCAAATCGGTTCACGCTGAAATGATGTACTGCTTAATACGTGAATGTGTTTCATCGTGCATCAAACTTTTTTTTTAATTATTATTATTAATTTTTTTGACGACTTTTTCCCCTCCCAGGTTGATTATCATAAAAAGTTCGGCAAGATTTTCCGGATGAAGCTGGGCTCCTTTGAGTCGGTGCACATTGGCGCTCCTTGCTTGCTGGAGGCGCTCTACAGGAAGGAGAGCAACTACCCTCAGAGGCTGGAGATCAAACCCTGGAAAGCTTACAGAGATCTGAGGAACGAGGCGTACGGGTTCCTCAACCTGTGAGTATGCTCTCTGTTGCTTCTTTCATTTATTTTTTTGTTTGTTTGTTTCCGGACCGAGTCCAGACCGATTAGGGTGCGTGCTTGGAGCGCAAATAGAAATCTTTTACAATAAAATAAAATAAAAAACCGCTGATTTGACGCTGTTTGCAGGGAAGGCAAAGACTGGCAGAGAGTCAGGAGCGTGTTTCAGCAGAAACTCATGAAGCCTACAGAAGTGGTGAAACTTGATGGTAAAATAAATCAGGTGAGTTTGA